AAAGAAAAGAACCTAAAAATAAATTGTCAAAATAAGATCGGAAAATGGAAAACAAGTTGTTTATTGGAACCCTATTATGTATATGCCTTGTGATACAAGTCACCAGCGGCGAAGATGACAACCCTCTAATAAACCATTACGCTGATTACGAATCGATCCATCCCAGCGAATACTACAGCTCCGATTTTGAGCTCAAAGACGGAACCAATGTGATCTTCGAAGCCATCAATGAATTGCAAGGTATCAAGAAACCAAAAGCAGGTTTCCAATGCAGCATTGGCAGAAAACACTGGACTAGGTCTCTTCCAGGAGACGTGTTTTTCGCCAAATTCTTCTTTTACCGGGTTAACCCGAACGCAAAGGTGATTAACCGGTGCCATTTCCGGTCGAATCTAGGTTATGTCAATGTCATTATCGAGATAACCCCTGCGCTCGGACGAAAGTGTCCTGACTACAGATGCATTTTAGCGATCAGACGTGAAGGTTTGTTGATGAAAGATACTAAAGAGCTCTTTCCTTGGACCCCTTGGCCTCACCGTCATACTCAACCTAAGTTGCCTGAGGTCACCAAATGATTTCTCTGAATGAAATATTACGGAAATTGGGTGCAAACATATCCTTTTTGCCCTCTATTGTTTTTTAAAAAACTGATGATCCAAAGACATTGTTTAGTTCAGAAAACATAAATCATAATTCAAAAATTCCTAGTGAAATTAAAGATTTTTTGTTCATAATTTCTTATTTTCCTTAGTCAATGATCAAAGAAACGATGACCACGCCAAAATATTGGACCAGTGAACTAACCTATATATGTTAATATTCCAACATTAGTAGCATTCGAAAAATGCAAAACAAAATCCAAGAAAATTGACCAAATTTGTGGTGTAAATTGAAATTCAATTTCAAGAAACGAATGAAAATTCTTATAAGCTAAAGTTGTTAAATCATACCTATAAACATAATTCTTTTGATCGCTACTTCAATAATTTTGTTTTGTATTTTTTGACAACCTAAATCTGGATATAAAAATGTAGCTTGATTTCTGTCAAATTATATTGGTTAAACAATAGTACCATCGAAATGCTGACTAATCTCTAAGGGGTGTCAAAACATGTTACCCGACCCAAACCCATATGGTTTCAAAATTTTAATAAGCGGGTTTGACCTGATCCATTTATTATATGAGTTGAATTTACATATTCAAACTCAATAATATAAAATCTGTTGGTTAAA